GATCCGGTTAGCATTCTGATCCCTTAGCAGGTTGTCCCAAAACCACAGTTTCACTTTAAGGTTAGAATCTTTCCAGAATGTTCAGCAGTGGTTCTGATCCGCTAAAATATTCAGAAACCGTTGGATCTAAACAGCTTCTCCATCCAGCCAGGATGTCTCCCTCTGCTGGACAACCTGCAGGTTTCTGACCAATCAGAGAGCAGAGAGACAGGCCCACTCTCATTCACCGCCTGAAGATTTAAGCTCGGATGGCTCTGGAGAAACTCGACCTGAAGGTGATGTTCAGCCCATCAGAGCTCCGTCTGTCCGTCAGGAACATGACTCAGCATTTTCTGGGTCCAGAAGAATCGTAATTACCCAGAGGAATGAGGGATGAGTTCTGGTGAAGACGAGCTGCAGGTAGATGGAGCGGGAGAGGAAGGACGGTGGTGAAAAAAAACAAAGCTGATTTTCAGGCAGGATGTTCTTGTGCTCTGCGATGAAATGGCGACCTGTCCAGGGTGGACCCCGCCTCTCGCCCATTGACTGCTGGAGATGACCCCTCGCCACCCCACTCTGGACAAGCGTGTCTGAAGATGGATGGATGGATGTTCTTGTGCTGATGGTGTAGAAGCAGTTTTATTGTCTTATATCAGAATCTATCCTACAGCATGGCCCTATGCTTACTTAGCAACCAAAGTTAAAGGTCAGTTTTGAGTCTTAGTAACAGCATGGTCTCCAAGGCTGCATGAGGGGGTTTGGCAAAAACAGAGAGCGTCTGTGTAAACACCTCTTGAGGGTCGCAGTGACTTTGATGCAGATCAGCACACGTGAATCCAATCCACTTTATTTATAAAGCACGGTTTAAATAAACACAAGGTTTCCAAAGTGCTGCAGAAAAACATAAAATAACTAAAATAAATAAAATAAAATAAAAGCACTGCCCGCACAGGATAAAAATATGCATGTATACATAAAATCAATACTCTACATGGTGTTAAAAGCCAAAGAAAAGAGGTGGGTTTTAAAAAGAGTTTTAAAATGAGACAGAGAGGTGGCCTGTCTAATGTGCAGCGGCAATCCATTCCAGAGTTTTGGAGCTGCAACAGAAAACGCTCGATCCCCTCTGAGCTTAAAGGAATAGTACACCCAAAACATGATTAGCCTTCATTTTCTACTCGCCCCCATGCTGAACAACACTCTGGAGTAC